TAGAATAAATACCAAGAAACCACACCAAGGTACATCATAATGTAATATTGAAAATCAGTGGTAAGAAGAGATCTTGAAAATATCAAGAGAAAAAAAAGACATTACATAGAGGAAAACAAGATAAGAGGTTCATTGACTTGTCATCAGAAACTATACAAGCCAGAAGATCACAGAATAATATCATCAATGTGCTAGAGAGGAAAAAAAAGCTGCCATTTTATATACAATAAAAAAAATTCTTCAAAAACAAAAGTGAAATAAAGACATCATTAGACAAACAAAAGGTGAGAAAATTGTCAGTAGCAACACTGCACTATAAGTAATGTTAAAGGAATATCTTTAGGCAGAAGTTAAATAAGACCCGGTGGAAATTTTGACTTATACAAAAGAATGAAGGAGAATGGCAATCATAAATATAAAAAAATGTAGATAACCTTTTTTATTTTCTATTTTAAATTTCTTAAAAGGATTTTTAAAAGTAGTAACAATGCATTGTACAGTTTAAAATATGTATGAAAGTAAAATGCACAAAGGAATTGCACAAAAATATAAAGATAGCCCTATAAAGTTCTTACATTATACGCTATTTGAAGGTAGGCTGAAATACATTAGTAATACATATTTGTAAAAACTGCCAGACATATGAAAAGATGTTCCTGGCCAAGAATATACAGTTTAAAGCAATGAAACATCATTTCTCACCTATCAGATTGACAAAAATTACAGAATATGGATATAAGGTGATATGTTAGCAAGAGAATAAATAAGTAGTTTGGATAATAATCTGTCATAATCTGTTGAAGTGAAAAAGCTCATACCTTTTAATTCAGCAAGCCATGTGTGAGATTCTATTATATACAAATAAAAGCACCATATATTTACACATGAATGTTTTCAGTTTGGTATGCTGTATTTTTGTTTGGGAGGAAATTTGGAAGAACTTGAAGAACTATAAATAAGACAATGGCTGACTAAATCTTAGTACATGCACAGCAGAGTATGGAATACTTGTAGCTATTGAAAATATGAGTTAAATCTATTATGTATGTTGTAGAATAAACTTTATGCCATATGGTAAGGAAAATCAAATGATGAAAAGTTCGGTGGTTAGCATAGCTCACAGGATCAGAGATCCTGTAGGCCAAAATCAGAAACTCTAATAAATCACCTATCAGATATTAATGCTTCAACCTGTGATTTTTGGTGTCTCACTTTTTTCTCCTTTCCAAGATGGAGCATTCGTTGTACCCATTCCACTACTTTCCACTGTGGGTGAGGGAATGAGGTGTAGGTAATGTACATTTTGGGGTTATAAGCTGTAGACCACAGTAATGACAACCCACCAGGAGCCGCTGCTTACTACCCAGAGAGCTGGATTCTGAGATGGATGCAGTGACAGGATAGGATTTTGTGTTGCCTCACTTGGAAAGTCAGAGGGCGTTTTTATGCTATGAAAAATGGAGCAAAGGGATAGAGGATCCTAAAATACCGAAATGTAGAAAACAATGTCCACGCTCACCAAGCATTTATGTTCCAGAGTACCATTCATTAGGCTTTCACTGAAGAGTTCTATAGCAAAATTAATTTAAAAATTATGGAACAAATGTGTGGTTTCGTGTAAGAATGTTCATGACAGATTTGTCTTTTATGTGAATCACTGTCCTCTTTATAAGAACTTATGAAACACTTTCTCTCGGGCCACTTAAAATCCTGCCTCTGATGACCAGGTGACAAGCCATTATAATATGGAATCTGTGAACCCTGTGACTCATGTCTCTTAGATTTAGCTGTTGAGACTAGCAGAGCCAGACTATGAATCAAGGTTATATTATGTGTGACTGTTTGGCTGTTAGTGTTTTAGATTTGCTTCATGACCTTAGTTTACACTTTATTCTTTATTTTCATTCAATAAGGCCTCTAGCAACCTAGAAACTTCTTGGAAATGCATTGTTCCTATCCAAGATGTGGCATTTTCCACGTAGTTTGCTCATCTGTAAGCAATACCTGTGCTTTCTGAAAGTCAGTTGTAGAAAAGTTACAACTCTGAATCTTAAGAATCTTTGGGGGTCATTGATAATCTAAAAATCTTGTACTACACTACATTATATAAGCCTTTCAACACATGACAAACAAGTATATTTAATAGTTACATTGGTGTCCTATAAGTGTAACACTTTAGACAGATGGGTAAAATTCATAATTAAGTAATAACTTTTAGAAATGCAACCTTTCTAAAGTGAAGCAGCAAAGATGAATAATCAATCTTAGGTTCTGATCACCTTCTTATAAGTAAAAGGTTAAAAAAGTATGCAAAACCTTCCTACCAAGCTGAACTGGGGCCAGTGTTTGTCTGATGCCTCACATGACTCTGCTGGCAACCATCTCTTAATATTTATTCTGACAGATGACAGTCAGTTGTTCACAGCTTCACAGCAACCAGTGTGAGTAAGTATATTCAGGACTTTTGGTATCAACAATGAATCAAAATAGATATTTAAAGGAATGGAAAACTACCAGAAATGGAAACTGAATGAGTATTTCCTAGAAAAGTCTTTATCACTGTCAGTGCGGTTTTCACTTAACTGAGCTTTTGGTTTGCAAGTACATTCATCTAGCTACAGCTGTGCAGAAGGCCATCTCATACCCATAGACCTAAAAATAATCATCCCCACAATCATCGGTTGATACTTTGATTTATATGTTAGGCTCTTGCTTGATCAGGCATTATTCATTGTCTAGGGCTTGTTCTCAGAAAATACAAAAGCAAGAATTTTTTTTCTCACTAAAAGACAACCACTGACAAAAAGCAATGCATCTACTAGGAAAACTCCCCTGATATTAAAAGAAGGAGAAGAAGAAAAAAGAGAAGTGGAGAAAGAAAATGAAAAGGCCTCTACAGGTGGGTAAACTGCATATGGAAAGATCACTGACTTGCTAAGAAAAACTTACATAATTTCCAAACTACCTTTGTAAAACGCTGTTGAAACTTTTGAAGATTCAACACCACCTATAACCTTGGTTGACCAAAGACAGTGAGATCTCTCCAGAACGAGTCAGTTCAACTCAGTAAATGTTTGTTGAGCACCTGTCCTTTGCCACTCAATGTACCAGATGCTGGAAATAAGGGAACAAATAAGGCAGATGTGGTCCTTGCACTCATGGAACTTATGATGCAGAGAGGATGTGGGGGGAGAAGGGATGAGAGAACTGCTGTTACAACTATTAGCATGAGTATTCCCTTGGTTTCAAACCTTAAATTGAATGATACACTGATGGACTAAGAAGATGAAAATTTTTCTAAAAATGTTTATGTAAGATTGGTCATCTTCTGATTTATTTGCATCTAGGAAAAAGAAGAGAACAAAGAAGACTGTCATTGTTGCCTGCATCATATTGTATTCCATAATTAGTTTAGATTGCTTTATAATCAGATTCAAGTCCAATACCTCTCATCTGTTTCCCTAAAGAAAATGGCTCAGATGCATTAGGAACTCCATCTTGTGTCTGAATTAGCAGTTTTGTAAGAGGTTGCAGTAAAAGTTAGTAGACCGGTAGTCTTTAAACATTTTAGATTATGCATTCCTTCAGAGAAAAGGGATTTGAGAATACACCCTAATATATGTTCAGTTGTATTTTCATTTACCTATAAATTTTATATATATAAATAAATATACATTGCAAATATATATGGAAAAATGTACTAAAAAATAAATTAAATTTTAAAATAAAGAGAAAATACTTTTTGGAATAATTATTAACAAAATAAAAGACTTTCTTCTCACTAAAAATTGTTGGAAAATAAGCTAATCCATAAATTATACAAGCTAATTAATTTGTTACCATAATTTTATTATTCCTGACAATCAGTTGACCTTTCAAACTAATTAGAAGCTTCTACATTTTCATATTTTTTAACCAACAGCTTAAAAATTCAGTGAACTACTCAGTTGAAATACTGAAACAAGATAGCAAATTGTTTCCATGACTTTTAAAGCATTTTTTGTAGATCAAAAATTTATGTAATTTTTAGCAAACCACTCCCCCCCACTAAGGGCAACATTTTGAAATATTTGTTTTCAAATATTCTTTTCACTGCAAGTTCTCACTCAGTGTTAAAATGTTAACCACCTTGAAGGGACAAAGAAGTCTGTGATTTTTTTTAAGAAAAATCTATTAGGTAACACACTACTAAGAGACAGATATAACAGAAGAGATCAGCAAATTTAGAATATGTGCTTTTTTGTAAAAGAGAAAAATAAACTATAACTCACCTTTAACTAAAAGTATTCTTTTAACTTTGCTGCAAATGATTTTCACAATTATTTACCATCTTACTACACAGTGATGTTAAAATTTTACAATTTACAAGATTTTTTCTATCAAATTGTCCACATAAATCAAAATTTAACCTCTTATCCTATGCCTACTACCCAAATAGTATGGTAACATAGTTGGCTCTATACGTGCTCAGCAAACCTGGATTGGTTTTAATGGTCTGGAAGAATATCCCAGAGATATTAATGGGATGCTCTTTTAAGAAACGCTGCCTTAGACTTCCAGTCAAGATGGGGACATAGGCAGACAGGGCTTGCCCCTTTGCACAATCACATCAAAATTACAACTAAAATATAGAACAACCATCACTCAGGAACATCAGAAATTGAGCTGAATAGGAGTCTGACAACAATAAAATCAAGTTGAATAGTAGTTTGACAACTAGGGAATTAAAGAAACCACATCCATCCAGACTGATATGGAGGGGTGCAGCCACTGAATGGGTTGGTCTAACATCCATATGTAGTGGATAAAAATTCAGTAAGGATATCTCGGGAGTAAGAAATCTCAGACTCACACCAGTGCCCCCAGCCCAGGATTTCAGTGCCAGGAAGCTAAGTCTCCACAACTTTTAGCTGCAAACCCAGCCGGGATTGAGTTAGTGAAAGAAACCTCTGGTGCCCCAAGCAGTTTCTCTTGAAGAACCCACACATGGACGGACTCACCTTCTCAGACTCACTCCCTCTGAGCTCCAGCACCAGGGTAGCAGCTTGAAAGGTACCAGTGGTGTACAGGGAGAAACCCAAGTGTCTGGCATCAGGGTGAGCAGAGGACATTGTCCCTTTGCTACCTTTTCCCCACAGAGCCAGCAAGCTTGTGCCATATCTGAGACTCCATCAGCCTGGCTAACACTGTTTGACTGGCCTTGGATATCGCCCCACCCAATTTATGGGCCTGCCTGAGCTGCTTTTCCTAAGAATGTCTGATCTTGGCTCCTAAATCCTATCAAACAAGCAACAGTTGGCTTCAGTGAGCCCTAGCAGCAGCCAGATTAGATTCACAGCTTGACTTCATCTGGAAATCTCTGAACCCAGTACAACTAGCAGCCATCTCAGATTGCTTTACAACTCAGGCAGGGTGCTCTGGGCAAAACACAGGTGGGGGCTAACCTTGGTCTGCCCCACCTAGGAAATTCCAGGGCCAGTGCACTCAGTGGACGGCTACAGACCACATTGGAGCACCACTAGCCTGCCCCTGCACAGCTGATCCTCCATGGAGGGTAGAAGTTGGTGGTCAGTGGTCACATGTGGCCAGTCCTTTCAGCTGACTGGCCTGGGTAAATCCCTCCCATTGATCTTCCAACAGCAATCAAGCCTCAACTGCAAGAGGAGGGTGTACCCAGCCCACAAGAAGGGCTCACCTTGAGCACCCAATTTGGGTGATAGGAGTGGCTATGCCACTGGACCCTACAGGACACCTACTACGTTAGGCCATGCTACCAAGACACAAAGTTAAAGCAGTTCTACCTAACACACAGAAACAAACACAGGGAGGCTGCCAAACCAAGGAGACAAAGAAACATGGCCAAAACGAAAAAACAGACCAAAACTCTAGAAAAAGAGCGAAATGAAATGGAGATAAGCAATCTATCAAATACCGAGCTCAGAACACTTTATAAGGATGCTCAAGGAACTTAGTGAGGACCTTAGCAACATAGAAAAGATTCTGTCAGAAATGAAGAACACACTAATTTAAACAAAGAAGAATTTACTGAGAAACAACAGTAGAATGGATGAAGCCAAGAATCAAATCAATGATGTGGAACATAAGGAAGCAAAAAACAACCAACCAGAACAGCCAGAAGAAAAAAGAATTAAAAAAATGTGGATAGCATAAATAGCCTCTGCGACAACTTCAAGAAGTCCAACATTCATATTACAGGATGCCAGAAGGAGAAGAGAAAGAGCAAGGAATTGAAACCATATCTGAAAAAACAATGAAAGAAAACTTTCTTAATTTGATGAAAGAAATAGACGTGCAAATCCAGGAAGCACAGAGAATCCCAATTATGATGGAAGCAAAGATGCCGGCTCCAAGACACATCATAATTAAAAGGCCAAAGATTAAAGATAAAGAGAGTCTCTTGAAAGCAGCAAGAAAAAGTTAGCAGATACTTGCCAAATGAAAAGGAAGGTGGAGGGAGAGAACGGGTGAAGAGGTGAGGGGATAAAGAAGCACAAATAGGTAGTTACAGAGTAGCCATGGGGATGTAAAGTACAGGAAATGGAGTAGCCAAAGAACATAAATTCGTGACCCAGGGATGTGAACAAAGGTATGAGGATTGCCTGAGGGAGTAGTGGAGGCTGGGTGGAGAGAGGCAAAGGGGGAAAAATCAGGACAAATGTAATAGCATAATCAATCAAATCTAATTTTAAAAATTTCTCAGTTATGAAAGAGAGAAAAAGAAGAAATGCTCCCTCAGTAATGCTCATATTACTCAGGATAACACTGGTGAAACAAAAAGTGACTGAGAGTGTTGCAATCTGAACGTATGTAAAGAACATTTTAAGAAGTTTTTTCTTATAGTTTCCTTTTTATTTTTTGAATGAATAAGAGTGACAGATAAACATATATGTGTAAGTAAATCTAAAAGAAATACTTCAATAAATAAAAATTTAATTAAACTATTCTAAGTGATAAGAAAGCTTTATGTTTATGTGACAGTTCTTTTAATTTCTTACTGGTTCATAAAAAATGGATATCTTATACTTGATGAATTCCTATATTCAATGAATTATTGTCGTAAAGGCACCAGTCACCCCCCACTGCATATTCTGCAGCGTTTTTTCCTCCCTCAGAATCCCACTCATAACATATAGAACATAGGGCCATTTAGAGTCGGTGTCACGCCGTCTATTGAATGTTCACCTCTTTCTTATTCTTTGGATAGCAAACACAAATGAAAGTTCTGATATTTTCTTGTCGCCCCAGCCCTGCACACAACCCACTTTTGGAGACCACAGCCCTAAGGTGTGGTAAGAGCTGGGCGCTCAGACTGCGCAGAGGAAGAACATCTCAGAAAAACTTCTCTAATTAGTGCCAACAAAGTGTCACTTCTCTGTGGCTGCGAAAACCCAGAACACGATTTTTGTCGCAGTCATCACAACTTCGGTGCAGCACTCAGCACGCCAACTCAGTCGCGGCTCCGTCTTAGGAGACAGCCTTCAGCCTCCGCACTTCACCGGACGGGAAACAGATCGCCCGGCTCCGGGAGACGAGGCACAGCCCACAGTCGTGGACCGGCCCCGGCCCGCTCCTGCCGCGGCGCGGAAACGGCAGGTGCCCGCGGACCGAGCCTCCGGTGGCGGCTGAGGCCACAGCCGCTTTCCCTCCGCGCGCCGCGCCGTCAGCTGCCCCGCGCCCCGCGCACGGGGCGCCGGCCCTCGGGTCTCCCGGGCGTCGCGGCGGGTGCGGCGGCCCCAGAGGGACCCCGACGCTGGGACGACCCGAGCTCCCTCCCCGAGCACCCGGGCCACCGAGGCACGTCGCCCCCGGCCCTGGCCCGCGGGCAGTGGACGCGCGGTGAGTGAGCAGGGGCTTGGGTGGGGCGCAGCGGGCACGGTCACCCCGAGACACGGGCCGAGCTCACGGTCTCAATGCCCAGGCCTCGGTGCTTCGCTTCTCCCGGGGAAGTGGGGTGGTGGCCTCTCCTGATCAAGATCCTGGTTCGCTGGGCGCTGATGTTCGCTTGAGGTGCTGGGTTGGTCGGGGTTTGGCCAGACGGAGGCGAGGGGGCGCTCGGGCTCATCCCCAGACGCAGAATCCGGGGCGCGTGAGGAAGTGGGGGGTGGCAGCTGGAAAAGGGCAGAGGACACCCCCTCAGGGTCCAGCCTGGGTCCAGGGCCGTGGGCGGGACTTGAACGTGGACCTCCTGTGAGGTCCTGAGGAGTGCGCTTACCCTTCTTACATGGCGGGGGGTGCTCCCTTCGGGGCAGCTCTTTCCCGTGGCCTCTGTGGACGGACACGAGTACCTGCCTGGCCAGCCCCTGGCGGAGCGCTGTGGGGTGAGCAGTCGGCCGGCCTCAGTTTGCTCATCTGTGAAAAGTCTCTTTCGGGGGCCAAGAAATTAAAGTCTGAATGCGCTCCCACGTTTTTGGCCCAAACTCTCAGGGGAAAAAAATCTTTCGTTTTAATTGTTTAATTAATTAATTAATTAATTAATTAATTAATTAATATTTAGCTACTTGTTTTTTGTATTATAAAGGAATTTTAGCATTTATTTTTGAACATATTATGGTACAAGGTAGTTTATGTAACAAATAATTACAACACACAAAAACAGACACAAGGTATTTCAGCAGGTACTACCCATGTATATAATGCACATACTTATTTCCCCCTCAAAAACTTGGGCAAATAAGTGAATATTATATGTTGCAAAATGTTGTCTTTTTATTAAAATATTATAGATTAAGGTTTAGATATAGGTCTTTCGATGGTAGCCCAAAAACATACAAAAAAACTTTACTCTGGTATGTCTAAAAAACAGGTTGAAATTCATCTGTATCTTTAAAAAACAAAAACAAAAAAATTGGATAATTATTACAATTCCCAAGCGTATACCTGGGTAGATAAAATCTTTGTTGAGCATCTACTATGTACTTGACATGTTGTCATCCTATATAACTCTTTAAAAACCCAGTGAAGTGATTATTAGTATTCCCATTTTACAGATATGGAAAACTTAACACCTTCACAGAGACAGTGTTAACAAGTTTCTGGCTCCAAGTTCTGTGCTCCTTGCCTTCTTTGCAACTCAGTCATAATAACATTATAGCCACCTCCACTTGGACTAAGATTAGATTCTCATTTCCCTTCAATAAGGAAGGGCGTAGTGTTCTAACTCTCTGCCCCACATGTGACTGAAAGGACCTTAGTGTCTGCGAGCTGATGCTCTCCTCGTTTTAATGTGAAATCCTCATGTCATTACTAGCACTTTGTTAGTCATGAAAGGCTCTGAAAGAGTTTGCAACATTTTTTAAACCTTTTGTCATGCTTCTTGAATATTACAATGTTTACATAAGATGGTAAGTTCCCAAATTTTGGTAAGCTCTGAATCTTCATGTATTGGAATGAGTTCCAGTGTGAAAAAAAATTCTAAAGGACATGTAAGATTTTTATGGGAGAAGAATCCTCTAAGTACAGTAGGTTTTACACATCATTTGTCAGTTGTGGACTTAATTTTTTAGTACTGCACTTGCATTGTTCTCTAGCCAATTATTTGTCATTGTCGTAATTACACTCACAGCAGTGCTCTCAACTTCTCTACGTAAACGTATTTAGACTAACCGGTAAAGAAATCCCAAAACCAACCCCCCTGCCATCCCTTCCCCACCGAAAGGAAGCCAGATCCCAAAGAAGCCTTGTCAAATATCCTTTGCTCTTGGAACACTGGGTGTTCTTTGCTAATGGTAACAATGTTTGTTTTTTTTTAAGTACAGCTATGTATTGAATATCTATTATGTTCAGCACATTACGCAGGTCACTGTAGTGAGTATAAAGAAATGTAAGACCCAGTTCCTGTCCTCAAGAAGTTAAAACTATTTGGGGGGAAACAGTAATTATGAGTACATTTAGTTTTCATAACTGCTAGGTGGTATAAAGTCACATTACAGGGGAGGTATGGGATCTAATTTTAATCAAATTAATCTCTTACTGGTGAGCCAGATAAATGGGCGAAGAGGTCAAAAAACAAGGCTGTCTATCTTAATTCTGACAATATCTTTGAAAAGTGAGGGATGTTATCTTTTCTCCTGTAATAATAGCAGATGATAATACTTACTGAGCTCTCTCTATGTACATACCTGCCTGATGCTGTACTAAGAGCTTTTCATTCAGCCCCCATAATAATCCTGTGAAGTAGGTGCTATTTTAATTTTCATTTTACAGATAAGGGAGCTCAAGCATGGAAGATAGTTCTAATTAATCTGATTCTGAATTTCCTCCTCCCCCTCCCCCCTCCTTATTCTTCTGTATAATCTTGGTCGCCTGGGAGATTTCTCCACCTGTACAATGGAAATACCAATAGTTACTTCTATAGTAGAAGACCAGATATTAACAACTCAAGTGTGTGCTCCTTATTATGATAAATTGCTAAGTAACTGCTTGTAAAAGGTTATTTAGAATCTTAATTTACATCTCTTCTGCAGTGATATGCAGAGGCAAAGGGAAACATTAAGTAAAATGTCAGGCAGAGATGCTGAAACATGGAGTTGTTAGTGCAGAGACTTCAGCGGAGTTCTTAGTTTATAGAAGAGACTTTAGGAACGTTGCAGGGGGGTGATTACTAGTCTGAGTCCCCACCCCATCCCCACAGTGTGCCTCCAATTATCTGAAGATAATTGTGAAATTCCAGAAAACTCTCAGAACAAAGTAATTGTAATGTATTTTAATATCTTTAATGTTTAAAAGACTCAGGGGTTGATGTTACAAGGTGAAGCAGAACTTGCCAGGATTTTGTGATACCCAAGATCCAAGGTTAACCACCCCCTCAACCCCATGCCATTGTCCATAATTAGAGACTTCAAGATTGAGAATGTACAATGAGAGACCCTTCCAATAAACCAAAGAAGAAACATTAGTGAAGTAGATTTAATTTTCTTAAGTTTTGATCGGCATTTTTCAAACAAGGGAAAGAAGCTTGGAAATGTGAAGTCGTTTGCGAAGGTGAGATGGTCACACAGGTAGAAGTGGAGGAGACAGAATGGCAGCCAGGTTCCCTGGCCCCAAACACGATGCTCTTTGCAATTCATCATCCTTCCCAATAGAAGATGGCTTACTTGATTAATAGCCCTAGAAGGATGCAGAGGGTGAAAACAGAGAAGGTTGGATTGTTAAAACTTAACTGAACAGTGTCCTGAATATTGTAGGCTTGTGGAGCTCATAAGAAAGAAAGAAAGAAAGAAAGAAAGAGAATGAAAGAAAGAAAGAAAGAAAGAAAGAAAGAAAGAAAGAAAGAAAGGGAAGGAAGGAAGGAAGGAAGGAAGGAAGGAAGGAAGGAAGGAAGGAAGGAAGGAAGGAAGGAAGAGAGAAACATGGCAAACAACATCAGTTGATTTGAAAGTACCTTTTTTCTTCAAGTCTCCATCCATGTCTTCCCTCCTTCCTTACCTCTTCTCCTTTTTATTTCTATTTTATTGTTCTATTGTGGGGAAGCTGGTTCAATTTAATAGGCAGTTCACAGTACAAATGATTCAGGGATCAGGTCAGGGCTGGATAAGAGTCCTTACTGCAGTTTATTTTATTTATTTATTTATTTATTGTAATGTATTTATTTAAATGTTGTTCAAGTACAGTTTTCTGTCTTTTACTCTCATCCCAGCCCACTCCCCAGTGCTCCCCACCTCCCTCCCATTTCCACCCCCCTTAGTTTCTGTCTATGTGTTCTTTATACTAGTTCCTGTACCTACCACATTTTAAACATAATTTGTTTACACAAAATTTTGGGAGCCTGTTTACTGTATCTAGTGTGATATTTCTGACATGGAAATAAAGACAAGTAGAAATGATAAAAAGAGTATTTCAGGAAAAAACAGAAAAGAAGGGGGAAAATGATGAGATCTTTGTTAAGAAAAATGATTAAAAGGTCATAAAGAATGTAAGGAGAAAACTTTATGACCGAAAATTAAACAAAGTACCAAAACTTCAGAGTCTCCTGAATTTGGGCAAGAGAGGAAAAATCTGTACATGGTAAAATTAGAAGTACTAATGCTTACCACTGAGAAAATTCAAGAGAACCTCAGCAGCTGCGTAAGAAAGGAAAACAGGTGTGTGTCCAATTTGGCTTGTGTAAAAAGTGATGGGACTCTTGGGTAGAAAGATAATATAGCAGAGAGGACTGATGTGGTACTTCTTCCCCTTCAAGTCATCTAACATGTTACCAAGGGGTCGCTTTAATTAGGGACTGACAGGCCACCCTTTGTCTATGCTATAGCTCGTTAGGTTTTTCACCAAGTGATAAACTCAGTAGGAGAAAGGGGACAAGCTTCAGTCAGGAGACTGTTCTTTTTCATGACATAGATCAAGAGAAGTCATGGAGCAGAGAAGGTTGGCTTGAATGGCTAAGTTGCAAGTTAGCTACTTGGTGGATTTAACTTTCCTTTTCCATCCTCATAGTGGAATGGATCATTAGAGATGGTTACATCCTGGAAATGCAGGGGTTTTGTTGTTTCATCTTCTTTTGAGGGGGGTGGGTATCAGAAATAATGATTCAAGCTTCTGAAGATTACAAGCACTAGGCATTGTAAGTGCTTTACTAGAGGGTTTCAGAAATATTGTGTGTAACCTGTGCAGTGCCTGAATCAGATCAACAAACTGCAGCATTACTATTAAGGGTAGTATTAACATTAGCATTATTTTTATTATTATGCCGCCACTGTTGCATCTGATGAGAAACAGTTTCACATGCTAGAAGTAACGTTGGATTAGAAATCTGGAGACCTACGATCTCATCTGAGTTCTGCTATTCATGTGACCTTTGTCAAATTCCCTCTTTTCTCTAGGCCTCAATTTATCTCTGTAAA